AAACAGGATTCTTTCAAAAAAGCTAATTTTATAATGGACTTGGAAGCCATCGTGAGAAACCATCGTTTGAAATGAAATATTAACAATCATCATTAACATATGCATTCATTCTGAAAAATGGCCGGTATTATTGAATAGAGAGATAAACCGAGGCCAGTGTCTTAAAATAGGATGGACATCTGGACGTTTCCTGAATGTTTGCAATGGATAGACAGATTGTTGGGATACGTGACGGTGAAGTAAATGATGTAAACGCCTCATTGAATGATCTAACTAAAAAATGTGTAATCTGGGAAAGTTTGTATCGATTATATGAAGGTTTATAACAACTACAAGAAGCATTGTATTCAAAGTTACCAAAGAAAGTATATCATTACACCTTAATGTTCCTACAATGAGTATAAGAAAAAGGTGGTGCCGATTCTTTGTGCAGAACCCGATATACGTAGTTGCTGTTTATTGAACATTTCCGGTAATACGTTAAAGAAAATTATCCTGAAAGTACCTCCCCTGCTTTCTTCGGGGCGCAGGTTCCTCGCTGCTTTGGCGCTGGGACGTCCGTCGCTTCCGCCTTGTTAGTTTCTGGAAGGATCTCAGGTGGTTCTGGTGGGCGATGGCGCGGGAGATAAGTGCCTATCTGGAGTGCGGTGGAGGCGGAGGAGGAGGAGGTGGCGGCGGCGGCTGCCAGGGTGGCCGCGCAGCGATAGCGCTGCTTTCACGGAGGTGCGAGACCTTTCGTAACGCAAATTGCACTCCTTGTTCGTAACAATCTATTACAGAGGTCTGTGGGCGAGATTGAATAAATTAAGTGGGCATGAGAAAGTAATAAATATTACGTCAATTTCAGCGAGAGCGAGACAAATGATAGAGTAACTTCTATCAATTTCGGTGAATAATATAGTACCACATTACTTAATAGCAAATTAATTCGCTTTCACATTTTATTTTCAGTGTGTTTGTTCCAATAAAAAAAACAACTCTTGTTTACTCAATTTGCAGCGGTGTTGATAGAACGTTGTTGTTTATGAATAAATTGTGCATATTTATTTTTTCCAACTTCTTTCACTTTCATTGCGGATGTGGATGTCGAAGGCTATCCTAACCAAATGTCATTACACCTGAATTCCTCTTACTACCGGCATAACTCTCTCTTCTAGTCTATTAGTCCCATTTCACGTTAGTGTGTCATTAACTAGATACCAATTACTTTTGTAATGACACCAGTTCCAGGAAAACGGCTTTATGTCTATTTACATATATGAAACTGAAGGTCTCTGGACGATCGTTTCATGCATTTTAATACGTCGAAGTCTCATCAAGGATGAGAGGGACAACTGATAAACGGCGAGGAACAAGGTCTCCAGGTGAGGGCGACAGATCCTCCTCTCACCTGGTCCTCACCTGCTCAAGGCCGCGGCCGGTTTCGACTGCGGGTGCCGACCGGGCGGGCTCCATGATAGACGGTCCGGATGTGCCCCGAGGACGCACTAATCCTCCGCACCCCTACTTGTTTCTCAAGCGAGTTTGCTGGGGCCCGTTTGCGGAGGTCCCTTGGACGTGTGCATGTTATCTTCGTCTCATGACATTCTCTAAAATGAGTGACATCAGTCACTTAAAACAAAAGCAAGGGGAATATGGTTATATAAAAATGAAATGTGATCTTTGAGTAATGTGGTTAAAGTAAATAATAAAAAATCCTTGATATTTATTTCTGGAATATTTATTTATTCTGTCGAATATTTTCTAAAAAACGCTTACAGCGTATCTTCTAGATATGAAGGTAGTTGTTAAATGTCTTCACCACATTAATCAGAAATGTCATTACAGATTATATTTTTGTATACGACAAACTTGTATTAATAGTGGTATGTTCTCTTTTACATATTTAATACAATTATTTTACAAATGAACTTACCATAAAATTCATATTAACGATACATATAGAGAAGAGACATTCAAATCGTACGACGAAATGCAAACAGCGCGTTTTATGAAAAGTGAACTTGAGTAAATGTATTCTGTGTTGAATGCGATAGTAAGTAGTATGACGATTGTAAAGTGTTCAAAATATTTTATTTTCAAGATAGTGAAGCATTTAGTGTAGCTTTAGAAATCTTACAACTAAAAGAGTGCATTTTATGAAGTAAAAACTCAAGAGTCCAAACTTCGGCCGTGTAATTGTTACCCTTCTTTGCTACAGCAACTAGTTAGATTTTCAAGGTGAAAAGCTTTCACCTTGAGCACCTGCTGCAATGCAGCAATTTCATAGGCAGTCGCTGTGGCAGTCGCTCATTGAACCCGCGTCTCCTCCATCGGCGTCTGCGCACTTTCGCCGACCTTATCTCGCGCGTCGCGTCTCCTCTTGTCGCGGCGCTTCACGTCGCGCGGTCCCACATTATGTGCGAAGCGGGAGAGCGGGGGCGGGGCGGCGGGAGCCCGTTGGAGCGCAGATGGCGTATCATGCTCGTTAGATCGCCTGTCTTTCTCTCCCTTGCAACGCTGGAATTCCCAAAGTCCATATTTTCTCCCAAACTTTCTTTCTTTCTCTGTTTCTTTCTTTCTTTCTTTTTTCTTTCTTTTTTCTTTCTTTCTTCCATCTCCGCTCTTTTTGCTTCTCTATCTGTCTGTTTCCTTCCCTCTCTCCTGTTTTTCTGTCTTTTTGTTTATCTCTCTGTACTTCTATCTATCTCTCTTTACTATCTCGTCTTCTCCTCCTCTTTCTGCTGTTTGCCTATTCTTTCTACTTCCCGAACCCTTCTCTCTCTCTCCCTCTTTCCCTCTCCCTATCGTACTTTTACATCTCCTTTTTTCCTCTCTCCATTTCTCTATCCTCACTCTTACTCATTTTCTCTCATATCCCTCTCCCTCACTATTAACTCTGCGCTCTCTTTAAACTTACTTCCCCCTCTTCCTTTCCTTCTCTACTTCTATTTTTCCCGTTCTATCTCTCTTTTATCTCACTACCTCCTTCACACTTACCTTCTCCTTTCCCCTCTCTATTCATCTACTATCGTCTCTCTCCGGCAATCTCACCTCACTCCGTCATGCCAGGAATCTCTCCTTCTCCTCCTCTAACTCCATGGTTTCTATCTGACATTAACTAGTTTTTCTTCCCATTCTTATTTCTAGCCGATTGCACGTGGCCAAACAATGCGCAGGAGAAAGGAACGTCGCGCAGCCTCTCCCACCCCCTCCCACTCCCTCCCACCCCAGCCTCCCATTCTCTCCCCTCGCTCGCTTCGCTGACTGCAGAAGAAAGGAGGTGCTTCGCGGCACTAGGGCCCGCCGGCGTTTTAATTGTTTTCACGGAAGGCGTCACACGCTTGTGCGCAACGTTCAGGTGCTGGGGAGTGTTCAATGCAAAACTATTACTGCCTCTGCGTCATCAATTTTAATTTCAGCATTACAGTTTACTTCCTTGCTGAAAATCGGGATCAAGATATGAGCATTTTAAAAGAACTTTCGAATTTATATATTTTGTGAACAAAATTATAAGAGAAATGATTATATTGGAAATGGAGATCACGAAATTTGTCGGAGTCAATTGAAACATTAAGTGATTGAGTTTGCCAACGTTTCGGAATATTTTTATTCCATCACCAGGGGTGGTGATAAACATTAACAACAACACTATAAATATATCTATGGCACCATCATATAATAATTCATTGAACAAACATAATTTACATAATGATACTACGATTTTAAAACATACTTGTGGATTAGAGAAAGTTTATTGTTCATTCCATACAACTAAATATAGCAGAAGATAAAAAAGTGGTATATACCATTCAAGAAAAGTAATAAATAATGCATTATCACAATGAGTACACCATACGCCATTAACTCTAAGCCTTTAATATCATTTGAAATTTTAAAATTTCCATTTTCCAGACTCAGCGATAAAGGGATTTCTAAAAAAAAGGCGCCTCCTTCCATTAACGTAGGTTTAATTTCCTTTACTATCCTTCAGAACGCCATTTCTCAAACTCGCCAGGCGACTAATTTCCATCGCCGCCATCTTACGGTCGTCCGACTTTTCGCCCGAGCGAGCGAGGGGCTCCGCAAACAATCGCACGGAGATGGGCGATAGCAGCGCGCACGCCCGCGCCCCGGGCCTGGTTCCCTTCCCGCCCCCAAGAGAGCGCGCGCAGAAGAATGAGAAGACGTCCTGGGACCGCGCATGGCGAGCCGCGTCGCGAAATTAATTAGGCGCGTTTACGGCGCACAATGGCCGCTCCCGCCCATTAGATGCACTCGTGCGGCTAATTAAGTCGCTCGTAAAGTGACACCCGTCCAAATATATGGGCAGCGCTGGCCCCGCGGCTTGTTGCTCGTTTGTCATGGCGGGAATGAATACGAGATGCGAGACGGGATTAATCGAAATGCTTGGCCGCTTTTATTGATGTGGTGGAGATTATGATGAAATGATTTAATGTAGATGTGATCGTTATCAGCACCTGATTGCTTCCATGTAGAAAACCTGATTGTAAAACTAGTAAATGTAAATTATTTCACTTGATGTAAGTTAAGAAGTTCCATTACAAGTAATATATTGATTTATTTGAAATAACAATGATGAAAACGAACGCCTAATAAATTGTCCTTCGGTGTAATCACATTAATTTCCTAAACATTACAAAGGTGGTGATGTGTTATGTTAAATAAGATACTTAAAATATGGCGTCAAATAAGAAATAAAATGGAAGTGATCACAGAAATGATAATCATTTGTAGTGGAAATAAAAAAAATAATATTTATTATTACTGTAATGATGATAATAGAGCAAACACATTTTCCTCAATAAGTAAACTTTTCATTTTGATTGCAAGGAATCAGGCATAACATGCAAATGTCATTTGATATATATTGATACTTGTAGACTACGGAATGAAGACATTTATGATTAAAGTTGAGTGTTTTGTAACTGTACATTAAGAAAAATGCTTTACAAGTAGTGAATGTATCTATTAAATGTGGCGTCTTCTTCTGTTCCCAGGTTGTGTCGGCGGCGGCGGCGGGGCGGCCGCGGGCCGGCGCGGAGCCATGTAGCGTGGGCGGCGCGGGCGGCTGTGGCGCGGCAGCGCCGGCTTCGGGCGACGCGCCCTCTGGCGGCGGCGGCGGGGGCCATTGCCAGTGCGAGGCGGTGGCTGCTGGGGCGGGAGGCGGTGGAGGGGCGCGTTGGGACGCCGCCGCCATGGCCTCCCTCATTCCCGGCCGGCTCAGTCCCGCGAGCGCATCGCGCGCTCGGCCGGCGACCTTGTTACGCGACCGCCGCCGCTACCTGCTGCAGGTGCCGCGACGGCTGGAGATCTGCCCAGCCCCAAGCCCTCCCCCGCCTTTTCGTCCGCCTCCCGTCGCCCACCACGGCGTCGTCCTCCGGCCTCGTCCACGGGCATCGTCCACCGCCCGCGCCGCGCCGACGACGATAGGCTTCGAGTCGGACCGACGACACCGCCTCCACCAAGTCCGGCGCCCGCGACGACACCGTCAGCCAACTCCTCGTCCTGCTGCTTCGTGACGCACGTCTTTCAAGTTCGCCGGGCCCCAGGGCGGCGTGGCCGCGCGCGGTAGTCGCCTCCACGTCGTCCAACTCCTCTTGTGGCGACCGACTCGCCAAGTTAGCACGGGCGTCCGACACGCGTGTGAACAGCTCGGGGGCGCCGTCGCCCTCGCGGCGCCGTCGCAAATCGTCAGTCGTGACTTGTTACCGCGCCCGGCGGCCCGCCCCCGGTCGGCCGCCCGCCCGCGGAGGGACGCTCCCACACCCCCAACCTACACCCGCCCGCCCCGAGGGGGAGGTGTACCCCGTGGCCGACGTGGCCTTCTGCCACCTGGACCCGGCCTTCCCCAAGGTGGTGGTATGGGTGGTGAAGCGCAAGCGGCCTCAACGGCTGAGCGCCACCCCCGACGGCAGCGCCACTGGGCTGCAGGCCATCGTCTTCGAGTGCGTCAACGAACGCGCGCTCAAGAAGTTCTGCGCCAACTACCAGGAGATGAGCCGGCGGGCGAAGCTCGACCAGTACAAGCACCCGCACCGGAGGAAAGACGTGACTCCCGCGTTCGCCACGCTCTACCGCGGGTACCTCCCGTCCGTCTCGAGGGAGAAACCGTCTCTGGAGTCGCAGATCCAGCCGCTGGACAACCCCAAGACGATCAAGTTGGAGCTGGAGCTGTCGAAGACCACGTACGACTCAAAGACGCTCAGTAATGTCGGGTCACGAGGGCAGAAAGCTGCCCCGAAAACGCTGCCGAAGCCGACGTCGGCGCCGGCGGCGGTGAAGGAGGACGAGCTGCCGGTGGCGGCCAAGTTCAACCTGGTGCAGCGCACGGACGGGGACGGCGTGACGCACATCGAGGTGGCGCGCGGGGCGTCGGACGCCGCCACGCCCCCTGCGCCCCGCGTCGAGACCATCCCGGAGACGTCCACGGGCCCGTCCAGCATCATCAGCATCAGCACGCCCGACGTGGGCAACCTCTTGACCACCGGACCGGCGTCGGGTGCGGCGCGTGCCTCGCGCCTGGGGAAGGAGATCGAGGGCGTGATCCGCAGCGACGTGGACGCCGCCTCGCGCCGCGAACCGCCGCGCCAGCGCCAACCCGCCATCTTGGTGATGAACCCCGAGGACGCCGCCTCCGAGCTGCACAAGGTGTGGAACCCGCCGGAAGCCGTCGCGGTCGCCGAGGACGACGACGAGGACCAGAAGGACGTGGTGACGGCGGATCCTCCTCAGCGCCCCGAGCGCAGAAAGTACGTCCGGAAAAAGAACCCGGCCCCGCAACCCCCCGTCCAGCAATCCCAACCCCCGAGATCCGCCCCTTCCCCGGACCCGTACCAGAAGAAGCCCCTGGTGCCGTACAAGCCCGACTCCTTATCCCGCGGCCAGAAGATAGTCCGAGGCCAGTTCATCCGCGTGTCCGTCGACCAACCGGTGGCCCCCGTCCAGCAACCGTGGATCTTCGGCAGCACCTTCACCAACGGATGGGACTCCCCGCGAGACCATCTCTCGCGGCGCGGGCTGGACGACATGTTCGCCGTCCAAGGCCACTCGCTGCGCCAGCACCCGCACAAGGGGTTGCAGCACCGCCGGAGCCGCAGCACGGGCGGCGCGGGCCGCAGCCGGAGCAAGAGCCCGCCCCTCGCCCGGAGGCCCATGGCGTATCGATACATCGACGTGGCCAACCCGCCTCCCCCGCAGCCGCCGCCGGCGTCCGCCGGGCGCTTCTTCGGGCTGTCGCAGAAACTGAAGGAGCTCGGCGGAGGCGGTGGGCACCCCAGTTATGCGACGACCGCGCGGAGGCGGGGCAGCGCCGGCGAAGCCACCCATTTGGCGGCGGCGGCGGCCGGCGGCCAGGCCTGCCACCTCAAGAGCGTCATCAAGAAGAGCAAGCGCGCTGGAGAGTACGTGGAGCCCAAGAAAGTCACGTTCAGCGCCTACGCCACCGTGCAGGTCGTCGACTGAAGCCCTCGCAGGACTCTCCCAGTTAGACTTGTTTAGGTGTTTGTTGATATGTGGTAAGAATGTTTGACTAAGGTACAACAGAAATTGTAGTGAGTGTGTATATTATGAAACTCCTAAACAAGGGGTTATCAGTGAAAATGTTATGTTTTACCTTTTCGTGTAGACAAAGAATCAAATAATATAAACTAGTTATTATTCCATGAACTGTTGTCTTTTTACATGTCGCTGTAGCCCATGTAATCACATCTTGTATCATTATTAACATCTGGCGGCTACAAACGATTGGAAAGTGCATGAAGAAAAATAGGTGCTACAGGTTCATAGGATTCACAAATGTCCATTTATTGAGATCCGATCCCTGACAGTTCGAAATGGTTATGTACTGCAACTTTTGAATCTGCACAGTCCCACGTACAATTAGCAATGGTGTGTTTGCAACACGATTTCTATTTTCATGTGTGTCTTGTGTATCACGTCCATTTGTCTTTCGAACTATTGAGGATCTTATCATCTGTAGATGGAAGTAGCTGCTGTTCTTCAACTCGAAGTATAATGGTCCAGGAACGAGATAAGCATGAAGGCAGCAGCCAAAACACCGTCGAAATGCACTCTTATTTTGGGTGGCTGGAGGAACACTGGAAGTAAGTTTCATGGGGTTCGCGGAAACTAGCTTAATGTTTCGTTCCAGTTATTGCTCTGTTCCGGTAGAAAGTGACACCTTTCTCACGAAAAAACAACATTTTCACAAATATGGAGTCCTTCTCGGTTTCCCGGAGACTGCATTAGGGAGCACCCAACAGACAAGAGAGTATCTATAATCAGCGTCCGTAATCTTTGCCACTTACAAAAATTTATCATAATAATTTTAAACAATAATTCGAAGAAACCATAAATTGAAAGAATGAATTGCAATATTCTTTAAAATTAAATGTCTCCTATCTTAAATGACGTATTAATGCTTATCTTTTTTTGTAATTTGAAGATATTGTATGAACTGTTTATGCCAGTAACTTCTGTAAGTGGCAATAAATTGTGAAAAACCAATTACATATGTTATTAAAATTGCATGTACAGAACGGGCGTGATCTAGCACTCATTTGGATGATTTCAATTGTTTCTTCTTACATATTATCGACGAGTCACTTTATTTGCAAAACGAAGGTTCCTATTTCCGAAAAAGTATGATTGCATGAATTTGAGTGTTCGATTTTCTAAACGAATTGCACTTAATATAAATTAAATTGAAATTCACACATGCACACTTTTTGACAAATCTGAAAATAAGACGTAATCACCAGCTTAAGGAGAACGTCAAACTTATTTACGTGAGTAAATATGGAATTTTGTTTGTGTGTTCTCATATTAATCAAGTAAAAGTAATATTAAGACATCTTGAATCAATTTGAAAAATCTTCAAGGGTCATTTAGACATGAGTAACAATATGAAAAGATTAATTTAAAAGCAGAAGAACAAAAATTGAAATATTAAGTTCAATAACATGCTCGATGAAAATGAGACTTACGGAGAGCTCTGTTGATTCCAGCGGCTGCGTCATTTTCCGTTCACTACATTTCCGACAGTGAGTTTATCCGTGAAGGCTTTGTTTAAATAGTCAAAATCAAAACAAAATTTTATCAGTCTTTGTATTTTTTTAACCCGTGGTTCTACTTGTGCAATAGTAAAGTTACTCACTATCATTTTGTTTGGAAAGTGTAACGAGAAAGAACGACTCATCACGTCCTGCTCCCCAGAGCACTTCTGACGACAGTTCATACGGCCTGTCCTCGGCCGGATGCAGGCTCGCCAGCGGGAAACGTCGGCCGTAATGGCGGCGGGAAGCGAACCACGGTCCCCTAACGGCGGCGGCGGCCGCAAGAAGTGTCTTGGGCGCCCTGGCCGCGGGCCGCCCCCAACGGGACGCGCGCTCCATTGTCTATTGTGTACGGCCGTTAGTCGCCGGCTGAGCTCTCTCCGCCCGCACTCTACTGCTGCGCGCTTCTGCTCTTGCTCGCGCGCACAGTGACACGCGGCGCCGCAAGGGAGGCCAAGGGCAAGCACGCCGTCTTTAGGGGGAGCTTTAGGATACCGGGGATTCGAAAGAGTTGAAATAAAAGGGGTAAGAACCAATTTTATCGTCGTTGACTTCGGGAAGATGCCCATCGTTACGTAAAAGAAAATTTGTTGATTATGAAAAATGTCATTATTACAAGAGTATGAAGCTCAAATTAATACGGTTTTGATAGGTTAACATGTTTCACATACGGTATATAAATGTACTTGTCGACGTCTTTTGCGTCGGAGCAGTGGACGAAGAACACAAATATTTACATTTGATGAAACGGAGAGTTTATTCCAGTTTTCAGTTAAAATTAATTATTTTCATTAGTAGTTGGTTTCCAAATACAATCACGGTTGTACAATAAGAAATACAATCAGTTCTCTATTTAAAAAATTGGCATCTATAAACAACAATAATCCATTTCATAGGTTTTATTTTCGAAAAATAGTAATGTCTATTAATACTACTATCAATAAATGTGTGTGAATAATCCAAGCATAATTACATCAGATATGCATCGTAATAAAAACACCAAATCGCAGACACCGATCGGAGGAGTTCCGCAAGGTCCGCATTCGGGCCCACTGTGCAGTGGCGAGGCACGGATTCTGATTTACACCGTTCGACTCGTAACGACGCGTTTTGCCGGCAGCCTTCGCGTGCCGCGATCGTTACCCCAACGCAGAAAGAAAGCGATTACCCCGAGCGGCGAAGGCGGCGGCGACGGAGGCGGCCATGGGGGCGGCAGCGGCGCCGTCCGCGCGCTCAAGGACGGATTCCTCCCTCGGGCGCCCGTTGCGCGCGCTTCGATTTGCCCATTGTTGTTTACTTCCGCCATTTTGTGGAGGCGACCCGCCGCGCCCCGGGCGATCCGTAACAATGAGGGGAGCGCGCGCGGCGGGGTTGCGGAATGCCTGGCGCTGTCGTTTCGTTTCTCGTAACGCGCCGATGAAAAACCGTTCAAACAACGGCGGGTCATTGTGTGTTTCTCTAATGTTCATGTGTAATCTCTTTGCCCGCAAAGGAACCGCGAGCCAGATGGCTTCCCGTCTTGAGCGCCGCTGAGAAGCCCGGGGTGGCGGACTCGAGTTCATTTATAAACTGGAGGCTATTTACACTCATATGGTAGCCATGAATTCAGACAAAAAGTTTATTTTTAGCCTCTTTCTTCATAGGGAGAGGAGTGGAATATATTAGACACTTTTCAAACACTTAAAAATTATTTAATACGTTTATGAACAGAGACATCATCTTTCTAAAACAATTTTTCGAATAAAGCCCACAAAATTATTGGTTTGAAATTAGTGATGTTCACGAAAAATGATACGTATTTATCCCTTTATATATCAAGGAGAATTGTTATAAATAAATATTTTAGTACAAAAGTTTAAGGAGTGGTAAGTTGCTTTTTATCTTAAAAATCGGTGTTTTGACATTACGAACTGTTTGAAACAAATTATTCAATAAACACAGTTAAAGGCGGAAACAATAAGTGAGAGTTTTAACCAGAATCGAAAGAGCGCTTTATAAATCAGATATAATGTGCATTAACATCTGTCTTCTTCGATTTGTTACATAAGGATGTTACTATGTACGTGTTAATTATACTTTGTGTTTAAGCCTAACGATTCACGAAGGCCACATGTTGTCCTTGAGCTTCGATTGCTACCTTCAAAGTTTTGTTCGGAGCACTCGTCTTCCCCAAGGGATTGTGACATCTGATTAGGTTTCGCGATACGCCAGCACTCGGCGAAATCTGAGAACCAGTTGCTGCCTGCCAAAGAAACACATCGCAAAGGAAAAACCTCCTTATCCCTGTCCATTAGATCGCATATCTCGTTGCTCCAAATGAGATCGTTGACTTGTCATGATATTTAATGGGGCCCATCAAAGCCATATAAACGGTACCTGGACTACTTCAACGTGAGTTGTGAGTCTCGAACTGGACATCAGTTGGCAGTAGTTGCGAAACAAATTTGTTCAAGTAGGCGTTCAGTAAGAAAATTGCAGCCGTTAGGCAGAGAGGAGAAGCAATTTCGTACTACGAATCCTATTTGTAGATTTTTTACTTCGAAAAATGAACATATCACAAAAACAAATAATGGAAAACGCTTTCCTTGTGTGTTACGTTATTTAGTCTCACGGTTTTCCAGTTCTGTTTCCAGACCAGATTCTTATTATTGCGCTTTATTAGACTTCCGTGATACATTTATCTAGATTTAATCTAAAATGAACAATATTGCTTTCAAATTAATAATGCTTCAATCATTACTTACAAAGTAATTTCATGTTATTACAAAAAGTGAAACGAAAGTTATTTCAATTTAAAAATTTGTAATAAAATACTAAAAATCGCTATTATTGCAAATTTAAACAAATTAACAGAACATCAATATTTTTGTATACTTTCTTCCAAATTACTTCAAAGTATAATGGGTCATTTTTCCAATTTCAAAACTTAATTATATTTTTTTATTTTAACAACCACAAATAAAATAACAGCAAGCGAAAAAAAACACTATTTTCACTTTTCGTTTCGCTCCATTGTATGTAACGAACGAGACACTAATTTCGTGTTAGTGATTGCAGCTAAAACTGAACGCAATAAAAAGGAGAAACGCGCGCGGCGCCGCATCTGTTGCAACGCCCCCTGTGACGCCTTTCCGGGCTGCCCTCGTTCGGACTGCCCTCCGGGAAGCGAACGCGGCGCCATTAGTCCGCGACAAGCGACGCGGAGGCGTCATAACCACCTGCGACGCCCCTCGCGACGCGTCCGCTCCGATTGCATCTCCAGTGTCTCTCCGAACCCTGTCCCAACTGCCCTTGGCTCCATAATCCCCTCAGTCCTGTCGTTAACACTGCTCTCCCCGCCTCACCGTCTTCCAATCCTACTGTCCCTCCATTCTCCTGTCCCAACTGTCCTTGTCCCCACTATCCCCGTCTCCTTCCCCATAGTCCTTCTGTTCCCACTGGTCTCCGGGCCTCATTGCCTTCCAGTCCCTACTGGCTCTCCGTTCCCCTGTCCCTTGTCCCACTATACCCGTCAACACTTTTCCCCGTTCCCACTGTGTCTCACCCCAGTCCTTCCGTCCCAACAACCCTCCCATCCTCATTGTACTCCCATTCTCACTGTTCTCCTGTTCTTCACTTCCCACAGCTCCCTCGCCCACTGTTTTTATGTCATACATAGACCATCTTTTCCTGTCTGGCTGTCCATCGTCCTCGTGATCCCGTAATGTTCGCGGTCGGTCAGTGGCGACAGTTCGTGCACCCTGCGGTAGCCACCGCATCACGCGCTTCGTGTTCGTTTATGATCCTCACATCCTCTGCTCGAATAGAGATGGCGAACGTACATGGCGTTTCCCGTCATAACTGGTATTTGTCTTGTAATATATTTGATTCTACATGTGTTTGTATATATATTGCGATGCATATATTGTTTGTATATATTGCATGCGTTTTTTCAGAATTAAAATTATACAATACTTTTTTTAATATATTGCAAGTATAGAACACAAATTTCTGAGCATTCATTAATTTCATTAATCAACAGCTAAAAATTAAAATTATTTCAAAGGCAAATTCCCTACTAAATAAAGTACGATTATGTATTTTATAGCCTAGGGATCAAAAATGTAATATTTATGTTTTTTATCGCACTAGCAAATAAAAAAGGTACATCGAAATCCCGATACATTTCACCCACTCTAGTACAACAAACACTGGTTTCGGTCCTTCTTTACCTAGCAACATCGATGCTTTCAAAACCTTTGCGATCTATACGTCTGCCCACGTGTGAGAGCGCGTGGTCCCGTAAGGCTGCGCGGTCGGTCAGTGGCGACAGCGCGTGCGCGTGGCGGCGGCGGCGGCGGGCAGTCACGCTCCCCGTGTTCGTTTACGGCCTCCGCCGCCGCCCCCACCCGCGGCGTCTGCCCCGGTCCCCCTTGCGGTTTGGGCTGTCCCTCCGCCTCGCCCGTGGACGCTGTCGCTCGGTCAGTGAGCTAACTGGATTCGACGTGGCTTGCAATCGTGTTTGGATGATCCGGATTTTGCTATAGCTCTTCAGTGGTCTAATATCGTGCGCTGCTCCATTAGGTCTGGTATTAAATGAATCGGAGAAAATAAAAACGTTCGAAGTCCAGGAGCCTCAAATTTTGATGTGCAAGCATAAAGGTTCTAAGTTCCAGACATCGAACATTTTTGTTAAGATTAACAGTTGAAGGAAATTCTACAGATGTCACAAAAGTCACAGACAAAGAATGTTTATGCATTGAAAGTGTTTAGAAGTGCAGTGAAAGAAATTAAATGGTTTAAGAAAATGAAAAGTTCTCACAAATTCCTAAAATTCAATCCTCAACTCTCAAACTATGAGAAATTTACCTTAATTCAACCGTTGAAATATTCCCGCAATGACACCAAGTAGTTTGTTATTTAAATTTCTACTATATTACCCACTAGTATGTAATTATTATAACCACACAAAAATTCTCTGCAAAAAATTGATAATATAATATTCCATTTATGTTTTATCGCGCCTTTTCCTCTTCCAATACACGTTGGTAGCTTTTTTTCATTAACTCTTTCATTTCATGCTCTTTCCTGACCGACTGCATCCAGTAATGCTCCTTCGGCGAAACCGACACGGTGTTCATGAATCCCTCACCCACCCCATTTTCACGGTCCCGATCAGTTGACCCTAATGAGGGAATGAACCTTGACCGCTCTCGGTTCGTTCTTCGCTTGTTTTCGGGTGGGCGTTCAATGGTGCCTGTTGTGGAAACTGCACGCGATGTCTACGGTCGCTCTCCTCGCTGTGCGATTCGCTGAAACAAGTCTCGTATTTTGGCTTTCAGTTCCAGTTCACGGAGAAAATCCGGAATAAGATTGTCCAGACCCGACGTTTCACTTCTGGAAGTAATGTAGAGTAGACAAGTTCCTTCTTTAAAAATATCTTACATTAGAGTCTATAGTATTTAAATGATAGTGTGTTCTTAAAAAAACTTCAAAATATGTGAATGTAAGTTTTACCACAGTTACGTTTCTAAATATTTAATAAAGACGGCCATTCCTTATACTTAACGGATTTTTCCTTCCTTACTGTGCAATAAAGCTAACAAGGATGTTCATTATCTATTTAGAATAAATAAGAAAAAATTAAAAAAATACTTTTTTTAATACAGAAAGTCTTATGAAATGCACTTTTCTTAAAACAAATTGAAATAATTTAATCAGTACAAAACTCTCTGCGTTTTTCTATTACCCGTAACTCAAGAGAACTTCATTAACTTCCTAATTTGCCACCCAAGTTGACTCGTCTTGCTCCAAGGCCTGCCCCCAGATTTTTATCCCGCGGCTAATTCCTGCAATTTGCATATCGCTGTGTGATTCCCGTCGACCAGCGCGTGTTCAGATAATTTAATCTGCTTGTGGAATCTTCGTCCGTCCGGTTCGCGTTTTAAAATCGAAGTCAACAATAAATTAATGGAGGTTGATGGATTCGACCTCAAGATAATGTCGAAGGACATGCAGATTAAAAGTACTACAAGCTAATCAAAACTGTATTAATTTTTAGGTATCTGTATTTGAAATGGGTATCATAATCTCCAGTATTATAATAACCTAAAATATTTAGAATTCGTACAAATTATTTTCATGAGTTTCGCACAGTGGGCATATGACAATTATTTCTAACACGTTATTCTTTCACGACAAAATTTACAGAAGAAATAAAATGTCAATTAAATTCGTTATGAATAAATCTGAAGTAAATCAAAAATATGAAAATCCGAAGTGATTTTTAGGGATTTTTGTGTTGCGGTATTTTAATCCTCAAAAATTATAAATCACATGTAACAGTTCGGATATCAAATTTTGACTCAAAATAATTATTTTATTACTACAACCTACTTATAACGAAACTAAAATATAACAATTTTTATTAGTAATCATCTCCATCCCGCTGCTTTAGGATTTCTCCTCTTTCTCTCTCACTCATCTCGAACGAAATGTAACCACAGCTCGTCGTGTACCTATGTATCACAGGCCTTGGTTCGGGAATTACTGTCGCGAGAAATTACAATGTGGTGGTCGGAAAGAGCGGTAGAAAGTGCAGCTTTGTTCCGTAGAACAATACCGGCGTCGGCGCGGGGGTGTCGGTAGGAGGCGAACGCGAGCGCCGAGGAGGTCGCGGAAGAAAAACGTCGCCATCGCCAGCACCACCCTCCAGCACAACCATAGCTGCCATAGAGCGCTGCCACCGTCCTCACTGCAGCAGCCGCTGCTGCTACAGCCGCCATATCTGCCACCGCCCAGCTGCCACCGCCTTAGCTGTCATCACCACCACCGACATAGCTATCACCGACCTAGCTGTCACCGACGTAGGTGCCACCGACACACCTGCCATCGCCTTAGTTCCTTCTACCATACCTGCCCCCGCCATAGCTGCCACCGACACAGTTGCCACCGGCTTAGCTGCCGTAATTGCCGCCGTGAAATTCATCATACTGCCACCTATGACTGCTCCAAATATGCCTCCTATGGCGTTGCCGCCGCTGTCGCTGTCACCCCCGCCACCACCCCTCCCACTATCACCTCCACTCCANCGCCACGTCCTCGTGGTCGTGGACGTTGCCGTCGCCTTCTCCGTCTCAATCGTCGCTACCGCTGCCGCCGCCGGCGCCGTCGCCGCTCCCGATTAGGCTCCCAGGCGCCGCGGCGCGCGAGCGGGGCTGTCGCAAGGCGCCGCAGGGCGCAGCGGCGGCGGCCGCCCCACTTTCTGACGTCACCTGTCGCAAGTGGCGGCGCCGCCGGAGGCGCCCCTGCGCCCGCGCATCGCGGCGACGGAGAACGCAGCGAGTGGGACGATTTGGCGCGCGCTGAAATGGACCCCGTCGTCATGGCGGCCTTTTTCACCATCAACAGTCCAAGCTCCTCAATCACTACCATCACCATCACTCTCATCCTCATCACCATCATGGAGGCATGAGAATGTTACGGAGAGCGATGACAGGGTCTCCATCATTGCGATCGTCTTCATTATCACCAGCACCGCCATACCAGCACAAGGACCTCCCTCACCATCAAAGTCACCATCCTCATGGCCATTGTGGAGCTACATTTTGAAATGCGGTGACCGGGTCTTATTATCTTTCCTTCCATCCTCATCACTAGCACCACCATCATCAGCACAAGCACCTCCTTCCTCATCCTTCTATTAAGACCTACAATATTATAATGCTACTCCTTGTCACAGAAAACGGTCTGCTTTATTTTCCAGTCAACCATCTAATTCCCGTATAGCATTAACAGTTCATAAAGATTTCTATAATACTTTTCCAATATTTATCTCTTGGTCTCTCTCTTAAATTTTGTTTTCTTCTAATGATTATTTTATTTTATGTGTGGTTCAATCGCTTTACTTTCAATATCAAGAACTTCACACATGGATGGGAAATAAAAGCAGTCTGGTTTGGAAGTCGGTGTTAATGTTCAGTAATATAGTAAAAAAATCAGAAATCACTTTAGGTGCCAATTTACTGTGTATCCTGTGTCCACAAAAAAAGGTGTTTTTATTACAATTATTTTATTCGTATGTTGCTAACTAGCGACAATTTTTAATAATTACAATATTAAAAATATTATTTCTGAAACACCGTTATTAACGAATCCTTTTTTGTTCAAAATTCGTTATTGAAGTATGAACTTTATTTATCGCTAGACATGGTTACAGTGTTAATATTCCACACAGTAGTTGGTGTTTTTAGACAATCTAAAAATTAAAAAAATATGAAGTCAGCCAAAACCACTCTTCCTCATCCCCTAAGTTTCCCTTACTTTCTGATTGCCACTCGGTGTCTCACTCTACCCTCACCAGCCACCGTCCGCCCCCCGCAATCAGGCCCAGCGGAGTTTCGAACGGGTGCAGGTCCGGTGTCGTTGCCCGTTACCGGGCGTCTGTCCTCGGCCAGTCAGAGAAAGTGCAAGAACGGGTCGACGTCCGAAGAGAAAATTATAGCGAGATCGTTCAGGAACGCGCGAGTCAGAGCAACCACCGCGAGCCATTAAAGCGCGGACGCTAATGCGCTTTATACGAGCGGCGCTGACGAACAAATTCAGGGCACCTGCCTCTGTTCCCTGGAGGGATGTTAATTGAACGAGATTCGTTCGTTGTTTGAGAAACGTTCCTCGTTCCTTTTGTATCAACAGAGAAAATGCCAACGTTCTCAGGAGAGAGACACGAGATATTAATTGCTTGAAATGCTCGTTGCCCGAATTGCCCGTAATGCTCGCG